TCAAAAATGATGATTAAATCAGTTAAAAAGCAAGCGTTTAGTAACATACATATGCAGAAGTTGGTTGCCAGTACTTAATCCATTTTTAACACTAGGCTACTTTATTGACATTGGTGGTTTATTTCATGGATTTAGCACTTGAGGTAGCTGATAAGCCGTGTCGAAAACGTTGCACAAAACGACCATTCTGTGCACGTTTTCGACACGGATTAAAAACCAGTTGTAAGCACAAATTTTCATATGTAACAGTCAATATGGGAGAATGCATTCCTGACGAGATTCCGAGGAGAGGGATAACCAACTACATATTTCAGTGTATAGGATTAAAACCCGGCGTAAAACAATAAACAAATAATCGCCGGGGTTTTATGCTATTTTGTGTCGACAAGTCACCGCTAGATGTTTTTAGAAAGTCCACGAGGGCAGAGTATATTAAGTAGGACTCGGAGAAATATTGAATTTGAATATTAACTGGGTTATAATTTTAGCGCATTTAAGTGAATTAATGAGCCCTATAAAGTAATGCTTTGACAAACAGTTGTATAAGTTGAAGGTTACGACATGAATATTCAAATGCTAGACTTGATTTCTAGCCTCTGCCTAGGTTGTCGTTGCTGTTATACTGCCCTCAATGATAGTAATTATTATTTTAGACAAGTGGCTCTCCCGCCGTGCCCCAGATGCTAGGTCATAAAATCGGCAGTTGTTATTGGTTATCAAAGAGTTTCTTCAAAGCGGCAGTATGTCGGCCCCTGATCTTTAACCTTCTGGTCGTTTTCTGAATATAATTTTAACGTGACCACACAATTACATTTGCTAGACAACTTTTATTGCTTGTTTACTTCAGACTCTTTCGTCCTACCAAAATAATTCAAGTATGTGTTTAATTATGCAAAAGAACATCGTACAGTACACATGTTGATTTTCATTTTTATAAGCCTTTGTGTCTCAACCCTCTCTCAAGGGTCTATAGACAGATATACATATTTTCATTAGTTTCATTTCTTCACAGGGAAGGACTGAACATCCCGGGGTTTGAGTTTAGTAATGGGATTCCAACTCAAAAAACCAAGCCTGTGGCGACAGGAAGTATATCGGAAGAATCCCGCCGTCCTTCTGTAATAGAAGAAAATATCGTAAAAGTATCGTCAAATCAGTCAAAATGCACGCAGGTAAAGCGGATTGTTTTCATCAAGACACACAAAACAGGCAGCACAACAGTATCATCGATATTCGACAGGTATGGTTTCCATAACAACCTTTCATTGGCGATGGACAAGAGAAGTGTTCAGGTTGGTGGTCACATGTTCTCCAATCAAAAGTTGTTTAATCGTACTATGGTGGAAAACTCTCCGCTATCGCTAGAGGGCGACCGAACATACGACATGTTGACGAACCACGTGCGTTATTATAGACCCGAAATGGAGTTGGTCGTCCCGAATGCGAAATATTTCACTGTACTAAGGGACCCAGTTAGGCAGTTCGAATCTTCGTTCGGGTATTTTGGATGGGAAGAAAAAATGGAAGGCTCATCGGACCCCCTAGGAACGTTCACCGAGAACCTGTCAACACATTTCGAACAAGCCGATCTCCCATACTGGTGGCAAATGAAGAACGGTCAAATTTACGACCTCGGACTTGATCACAGTTACCATGACAACGAGACGGCGGTTACCCAAAAAATAACCGAAATAGAAAGAGAGTTGGACTTCGTTTTGATCACGGAGTACTTTGACGAGTCGTTAGTGATATTGAAACAAATTCTATGCTGGGAGCTACATTATATGCTCTATATACCGAATGGCATACGAAGTCAAAAATACGTCTACAAAATCAAGGACAGATCAAGAGCAAATATAATTAAGTGGAACAAAGCAGACATGATGCTGTACAGGCATTTTAATAGGACGTTGTGGCAAAGGATAGAAAGTTACGGTTCAAACTTTGAATATGACTTGAATGAGTTCCGTAGACAGCGACAGATTGTAACAAACCAGTGCCTGGACGGCACCATGTCGCCTGTACGCGGCACACCGAGATGGAGCCGAGTTAATTTGAAACGTGGTGCACCGAGTATATGCTACGAATTGTGGAAAGGCGATGCCACTTATACCAAAATATTGCGTGAACGGCAAAACAAGGGTGGAATCAAAACGGACATAAATGGGCGACAAATTAAATACTAAGGGGTTATTGCCTTATTTATGGCCGTACAAATTGGGGGAGTCATCACCTGCGCATGCGTCAGATGGCCATAGCGTGTCATTGTTTACAAACAAGCGTCTACCCATGAGTCTTTGCGTTTTTAGCGTGTGCTGTTATCGTCACTTGGGACACAATTCTCGCGCGTGCGCAGGTGACGACTCTCTCGCTTTAAGTTAAATACAATTGATGTTAAACTTGTGATTTTTATTCGAGAACTCGTCTGGTCTATTTTTATACGTCACTAGAGTATACCAACTCATCGAACTGTATGGAATATTGGTTGACCAATATATTAAACCTCAAAACATATCAGCAATGTTTGGAATACAAATCTTACTACTCTCGCTCGACTGAGAATACGAAATCCATGCTTTTATCCCAATGGGAAATTACCTGGTTGATGTCGTATATATATATTGCAGTATGGGTAATATAAATTTGTTATATACTCGAAATGACGCAATCTTATTATCAAAACCAGCAGTGTGTAATAGACGACGCGGTTAGTGTAAAGAATACGTACTACAGCTGTAATGACTGTACATCTTACGAAGGTGATATAGTGGAGACGTGCACATCGTAATTATTTGCAAACTGGTTATTTTATTCATTTCTCCTCAGACGAAGATCAAGACAGGCGTGGTTAATCAATGAATGTAGACGAAAGTTGATTTAGTTTTATTTGAAACTGTCATGGTTTATTTATGTTTCCGGAGTTGGATCGTATCTAATGGATCAGACGATGCGGTTTTCACTACATTTTACTAAGAATTTATTGATCTAAAAACCTCGTAGTTAAAGTTCTAAAAATAGAGTGATTTTGTAATCCAGACTTATTGCAATTAACAGGTATCCAAGCTAGATATTCGATTGAATGTTCACACTTTTAACTGCGACACCGTTGTGCAACACATGGCGTATTTTTGTTACACCCGACCGGTAAGTGTCCTTTCAACGACAAAGTGTAATCTGTAGACGGCAACTGACAATTAAAATCGCCAATATACTTTGTAAACAATGTGTAAACAATGCATTTTATTTATTATACTGTGTACTTCATATGAGATCTATATCTAACATGACGTGCCTGGAAATGAAAGGATTTAAACGAGAGAGTAATATTGATAATAAGCGTACTAGGTATAAACAAAAACTGCACTACAATCAGGAACAATGAAATCCATGTTGGCGAAAAAAAATCGTATTAGCCAGCTGATCATGCCGAAAAGTCCATTTATATGGAGATACGGTTATGTGTTCCAAGAATATGAATCCAAACTTGAGATATTGTTATACAATATAATGCCATCACTCTTCAGTATACAAGCGTCGATTTGACAATTGATCCAAAAAGAATATAAATTAATATAAGACATAGTTCGTCATCAGTGATTATCGAGGTGCTTCACATAATCCTGGTCCTCGTCATACATGATAAATCTTATAATGCATTGGATTAACCCCAGTGGCATTTTCTATCATTTGCGAAGTCCATTTCCTGGAGATTTCCAATAATCAAGTATCGCTATAACGCGCCATATAACGCATCATTACACTCGCAGATGTAATTGACTGGATATGAGTACGAGTATAGAGTAGGTAATTTCCTGGAATTAATTCTTCACATCTTTATTTGTATCCACAGTAGACAGTCGGGAGACTGGAGATATGACACATGATAAACATTATGGGATAACAAACAAGTATATACTTGTCCCATATGTTGCGCCATCTAGAGGCGAAGCGCTAATGCGACATCAACCGACTCACAACGTCAATATTGTCTGTTTTGTCGTCGCGCGTTATATGAGACACCGAGTTTGGGGGAGGAGGGAGAAGAATTACAATTCAATGTATAGAACGAACAAATCCAATCACAGTGTTCGTTTCAAACTGCGTTGCTCGCAAACCATTTTGACAGAAGCTCGACCTCTCATAATAAAATATTTACACGAGTTTGTGTGTTTAGTATTGTAACGTACACTTGTGGCCAACATACAGAATGGTTGAAATACCTAACGTCATCTCGCTGTACCTAAATAATAGAGATACAAACAAACTCACCAATAACTCAATACAGTATGAGTTCGAACAGAGTTGGTGGCCAATGGGTTAGGGGACACTTTCAACATATCAAACCCGGGAATCGGAATACGTTGAGAAAAAAATGCGTGGTTTTCAATCTCCACATGAATAAATGTACCGTTTAAAAGTGTGTGGACTCCAATTCCCACATAAATACAATTGTAAGATTTTCAATCTTCATATAATACAAGTGTGTAGTTTGCAACCTCCATATGAATACAAGTGTGGCAGTTTACACTCTCCATAGGAATACAAGTGTAGCAGTTTACAATCTCTATAAGAATACAACTGTGTAGTTTACAATCTCCATATGAATACACTTGTATGGTTTGAAATCTCCATAGGAATACAAGTGTGTGGTTTACAATCTCCATAGGAATACACGTGTAGCAGTTTACAATCTCCATAGGAATACAAGTGTGTGATTTACAATCCTATAGGAATACACGTGTGTGGTTTACAATCTCCATAGGGATACAAGTGTGTGGTTTGCAATCTCCATATGAATACACGTCTGTGGCTTACAATCTCTATATGAATACATGAGTGTAGTTTTCAATCTCCATATGAATACACGTGTGTAGTTTGCAATCTCCATATGAATACATGTGTGTGGTTTGCAATCTACATAGGAATACAAGTGTGTGTTTTACAATCTTTATAAGAATACAAGTGTGTTGTTTACAATCATTCTATATGAATACAAGTGTGCAGTTTACAATCTCCATATGAATACACGTGTGTGGTTTACAATCTCCATAGGAATACAAGTGTGCAGTTTACAATCTCCATATGAATACATGTGTGTGGTTTGCAATCTACATATGAATACATGTGTGTGGTTAACAATCTCCATAGGAATACAAGTGTGCAGTTTACAATCTCCATATGAATACATGTGTGTGGTTTGCAATCTACATATGAATACATGTGTGTGGTTTGCAATCTACATAGGAATACAAGTGTGTGTTTTACAATCTTTATAAGAATACAAGTGTGTTGTTTACAATCATTCTATATGAATACAAGTGTGCAGTTTACAATCTCCATAGAAATATAAGTGTGCAGTTTACAATCTCCATAGGAATACAAGTGTGCAGTTTACAATCTCCATATGAATACATGTGTGTGGTTTGCAATCTACATATGAATACATGTGTGTGGTTTGCAATCTACATAGGAATACACGTGTGTGGTTAACAATCTACATAGGAATACAAGTATGCAGTTTTCAATCTCCATAGGAGTACACGTGTGTGGTTTACAATCTCCATAGGAATACAAGTGTGCAGTTTACAATCTCCATAGAAATATAAGTGTGCAGTTTACAATCTAAATATGAATACATGTGTGTGGTTTGCAATCTCTATATGAATACACGTGTGTAGTTTGAAATCTCCATATGAATGCACATGTGTGCTTTACAGTCTCCATATGAATACACGTGTGCAGTTTACAATCTCCATATGAATACACATGTGTGGTATACAATCTCTATAAGAATACAAGTGTGCAGTTTACAGTCTCCCTAGGAATACAAGTGTGCAGTTTACAATCTCTATATGAATACATGTGTGCGGTTTGCACTCTTCATATGAATACAAGTGTGTAATTTGAAATCTCCATATGAATACACGCGTGTGGTTTACAATCTCTATAAGAATACAAGTGTGCAGTTTACAATCTACATATGAATACAAGTGTGTGGTTTACAATCTACATAGGAATACAAGTGTGCAGTCTCCATATGAATGCACGTTTGTGGTTTGCAATCTCCTTATGAATAGACGTGTGTGGTTTACAATCTCCATATGAATACACGAGTGTATTTTACAGTCCTTATATGAATACATGAGTGTGGTTTGCAATGTCCATATGAATACAAATGTGTCGTCTACAATCTACATAGGAATGCAAGTGTGTGGTGTGCAATATCCATATAAATACACGTGTGTGGTTTTCAATCTACATATGAATACGCGTGTGTGATTTTCAATCTACATAGGAATACAAGTGTGTGGTTTGCAATCTCCATATGAATACACGTGTGTGATTTACAATGTCCATATGAATACATGAGTGTAGTTTACAATCTCCACGTGAATACACGTGTATGGTTTTCAATCTACATATAAATACATGTGTGTGGTTTTTAATCTACATATGAATACAAGTGTGTGGTTTGCAATCTCCATATTAATACACGTGTGTGGTTTACAATCTCCATATGAATACATGAGTGTAGTTTACAATCTCCATATGAATACACGTGTGTTGTTTACAATCTACATAGGAATACAAGTGTGTGGTTTGCAATTTCCATATGAAAAGAAATGTGTTGTTTACACATTTAATTTGAATAAAGGTGTATGGTTTACAATATCCATTTAAGTACACGTGTGTGGTTCGCAATCTACATAGAAATACACGTTTGTGGTTTGCAATCTACATAGGAATACACGTGTGTGGTTTGCAATCTACATAGGAATACACGTGTGTGGTTCGCAATCTACATAGAAATACACGTTTGTGGTTTGCAATCTACATAGGAATACACGTGTGTGGTTCGCAATCTACATAGAAATACACGTTTGTGGTTTGCAATCTACATAGAAATACACGTGTGTGGTTTGCAATCTACATATGAATACAAATGTGTTGTTTACACATTTCATTTGAATAAAGGTGTATGGTTTACAATATCCATATAAATACACGTGTGTGGTTCGCAATCTACATAGAAATACACGTTTTGTGGTTTGCAATCTACATAGGAATACACGTGTGTGGTTTGCAATCTACATATGAATACAAATGTGTTGTTTACACATTTCATTTGAATAAAGGTGTATGGTTTACAATATCCATATAAATACACGTGTGTGGTTTGCAATCT